ATTTCACACTTTGACGAGATACTCTAGATGATAAATTGGACACTTTGGAGCTCATTGGTGACAGAAAAATAGATAAGATAAAAGTGAAAAACAAATTTTACGAAGAAATGTTCCTAACAACTTGTTTGTGTCCTACCACTAAACAGTGAGTCCCAGACAATTATTTTACACATGAATAGACACGCTAGATGCAGAGTAGGTAAATTGAATGTCTGATTTGGCATTTTTGGTACAATCTGGGGGCAACAATTGAGATAACATAAAAATGACCACAAGTGACATTTTTCCAGAATTTATGCCTTTCGCGTTTGGCCAAAATCATATTTGCAAAAAAGTTGCCAATTTAGTCTCAGTCTATCATTTCACACTTGACTCTAGATGAGAAATTGGACACTTTGGAGCTCATAGGTGACAGAAAAAAATAGATAAGATAAAAGTGAAAAACAAATTTTACGAAGAAATGTTCCTAACAACTTGTTTGTGTCCTACCACTAAAAGTGAGTCCCAGACAATTATTTTACACATGAATAGACACGCTAGATGCAGAGTAGTTAAACTGGATGTCTGATTTGGCATTTTTGTACAATCTGGGGGCAACAATTGAGATAACATAAAAATGACCACAAGTGACAATTTTGCAGAATTTATGCCTTACGCGTTTGGCCAAAAAAATATTTGCAAAAAAGTTGCCAATTTAGTCTCAGTCTATCATTTCACACTTGACGAGATACTCTAGATGAGAAATTGGACACTTTGGAGCTCATAGGTGACAGAAAAATAGATAAGATAAAAGTGAAAAACAAATTTTACGAAGAATTGTTCCTAACAACTTGTTTGTGTCCTACCACTAAACAGTGAGTCCCAGACAATTATTTTACACATGAATAGACACGCTAGATGCAGAGTAGTTAAACTGAATGTCTGATTTGGCATTTTTGGTACAATTTGGGGGCAACAATTGAGATAACATAAAAATGACCACAAGTGACATTTTTTGCAGAATTTATGCCTTACGCGTTTGGCCAAAATAATATTTGCAAAAAAGTTGCCAATTTAGTCTCAGTCTATCATTTCACACTTGACGAGATACTCTAGATGATAAATTGGACACTTTGGAGCTCATAGGTGACAGAAAAATAGATAAGATAAAAGTGAAAAACAAATTTTACGAAGAATTGTTCCTAACAACTTGTTTGTGTCCTACCACTAAACAGTGAGTCCCAGACAATTATTTTACACATGAATAGACACGCTAGATGCAGAGTAGGTAAACTGGATGTCTGATTTGGCATTTTTGGTACAATCTGGGGGCAACAATTGAGATAACATAAAAATGACCACAAGTGACATTTTTGCAGAATTTATGCCTTTCGCGTTTGGCCAAAATAATATTTTCCAAAAAGTTGCCAATTTAGTCTCAGTCTATCATTTCACACTTGACGAGATACTCTAGATGATAAATTGGACACTTTGGAGCTCATAGGTGACAGAAAAATAGATAAGATAAAAGTGAAAAAACAAATTTTACGAAGAAATGTTCCTAACAACTTGTTTGTGTCCTACCACTAAACAGTGAGTCCCAGACAATTATTTTACACATGAATAGACACGCTAGATGCAGAGTAGTTAAACTGGATGTCTGATTTGGCATTTTTGTACAATCTGGGGGCAACAATTGAGATAACATAAAAATGACCACAAGTGACAATTTTGCAGAATTTATGCCTTACGCGTTTAGGCAAAAAAATAATATTTGCAAAAAAGTTGCCAATTTAGTCTCAGTCTATCATTTCACACTTGACGAGATACTCTAGATGAGAAATTGGACACTTTGGAGCTCATAGGTGACAGAAAAATAGATAAGATAAAAGTGAAAAACAAATTTTACGAAGAAATGTTCCTAACAACTTGTTTGTGTCCTACCACTAAACATTGAGTCCCAGACAATTATTTTACACATGAATAGACACGCTAGATGCAGAGTAGGTAAACTGAATGTCTGATTTGGCATTTTTGTACAATCTGGGGGCAACAATTGAGATAACATAAAAATGACCACAAGTGACATTTTTGCAGAATTTATGCCTTTCGCGTTTGGCCAAAATCATATTTTGCAAAAAAGTTGCCAATTTAGTCTCAGTCTATCATTTCACACTTGACGAGATACTCTAGATGAGAAATTGGACACTTTGGAGCTCGTAGGTGACAGAAAAATAGATAAGATAAAAGTGAAAAACAAATTTTACGAAGAAATGTTCCTAACAACTTGTTTGTGTCCTACCACTAAACAGTGAGTCCCAGACAATTATTTTACACATGAATAGACACGCTAGATGCAGAGTAGGTAAACTGGATGTCTGTTTTGGCATTTTTGGTACAATCTGGGGGCAACAATTGAGATAACATAAAAATGACCACAAGTGACATTTTTGCAGAATTTATGCCTTTCGCGTTTGGCCAAAATCATATTTTCAAAAAAGTTGCCAATTTAGTCTCAGTCTATCATTTCACACTTGACGAGATACTCTAGATGATAAATTGGACACTTTGGAGCTCATAGGGTGACAGAAAAATAGATAAGATAAAAAAAAAAACAAATTTTACGAAGAAATGTTCCTAACAACTTGTTTTTGTGTCCTACCACTAAACAGTGAGTCCCAGACAATTATTTTACACATGAATAGACACGCTAGATGCAGAGTAGGTAAACTGGATGTCTGATTTGGCATTTTGGTACAATCTGGGGGCAACAATTGAGATAACATAAAAATGACCACAAGTGACATTTTTGCAGAATTTATGCCTTTCGCGTTTGGCCAAAATCATATTTTCCAAAAAGTTGCCAATTTAGTCTCAGTCTATCATTTCACACTTGACGAGATACTCTAGATGAGAAATTGGACACTTTGGAGCTCATAGGTGACAGAAAAATAGATAAGATAAAAGTGAAAAACAAATTTTACGAAGAAATGTTCCTAACAACTTGTTTGTGTCCTACCACTAAACAGTGAGTCCCAGACAATTATTTTACACATGAATAGACACGCTAGATGCAGAGTAGTTAAACTGGATGTCTGATTTGGCATTTTTGTACAATCTGGGGGCAACAATTGAGATAACATAAAAATGACCACAAGTGACATTTTTTTTCAGAATTTATGCCTTTCGCGTTTGGCCAAAATCATATTTTCAAAAAAGTTGCCAATTTAGTCTCAGTCTATCATTTCACACTTGACGAGATACTCTAGATGAGAAATTGGACACTTTGGAGCTCATAGGTGACAGAAAAATAGATAAGATAAAAGTGAAAAACAAATTTTACGAAGAAATGTTCCTAACAACTTGTTTGTGTCCTACCACTAAACATTGAGTCCCAGACAATTATTTTACACATGAATAGACACACTAGATGCAGAGTAGGTAAACTGGATGTCTGATTTGGCATTTTTGTACAATCTGGGGGCAACAATTGAGATAACATAAAAATGACCACAAGTGACAATTTTGCAGAATTTATGCCTTTCGCGTTTGGCCAAAATCATATTTTCCAAAAAGTTGCCAATTTAGTCTCAGTCTATCATTTCACACTTGACGAGATACTCTAGATGAGAAATTGGACACTTTGGAGCTCATAGGTGACAAAAAAAATAGATAAGATAAAAGTGAAAAACAAATTTTTTACGAAGAATTGTTCCTAACAACTTGTTTGTGTCCTACCACTAAACATTGAGTCCCAGACAATTATTTTACACATGAATAGACACGCTAGATGCAGAGTAGGTAAACTGAATGTCTGATTTGGCATTTTGGTACAATCTGGGGGCAACAATTGAGATAACATAAAAATGACCACAAGTGACAATTTTTGCAGAATTTATGCCTTTCGCGTTTTTGGCCAAAATAATATTTTGCAAAAAAGTTGCCAATTTAGTCTCAGTCTATCATTTCACACTTGACGAGATACTCTAGATGATGATAAATTGGACACTTTGGAGCTCATAGGTGACAGAAAAATAGATAAGATAACAGTGAAAAACAATTTTTACGTAGAATTGTTCCAAACAACTTGTTTGTGTCATGCCACTAAACATTGAGTCCCAGAAATTTATTTTACACAAGAATAGACACGCTAGATGCAGAGTAGGTAAACTGGATGTCTGATTTGGCATTTTGGTACAATCTGGGGGCAACAATTGAGATAACATAAAAATGACCACAAGTGACATTTTGTAAGAATTCATGCCTTTCGCGTTTGGCCAAAATCACATATGCAAAAAAGTTGCCAATTTAGTCTCAGTCTATCATTTCACACTTGACGAGATACTCTAGATGAGAAATTGGACACTTTGGAGCTCGTTGGTGACAGAAAAATAGATAAGATAAAAGTGAAAAACAAATTTTACGAAGAAATGTTCCTAACAACTTGTTTGTGTCCTACCACTAAACAGTGAGTCCCAGACAATTATTTTACACATGAATAGACACGCTAGATGCAGAGTAGGTAAACTGGATGTCTGATTTGGCATTTTTGTACAATCTGGGGGCAACAATTGAGATAACATAAAAATGACCACAAGTGACAATTTTGCAGAATTTATGCCTTTCGCGTTTGGCCAAAATCATATTTTCCAAAAAAGTTGCCAATTTAGTCTCAGTCTATCATTTCACACTTGACGAGATACTCTAGATGAGAAATTGGACACTTTGGAGCTCATTGGTGACAGAAAAATAGATAAGATAAAAGTGAAAAACAAATTTTACGAAGAAATGTTCCTAACAACTTGTTTGTGTCCTACCACTAAACATTGAGACCCAGACAATTATTTTACACATGAATAGACACGCTAGATGCAGAGTAGGTAAACTGGATGTCTGATTTGGCATTTTGGTACAATCTGGGGGCAACAATTGAGATAACATAAAAATGACCACAAGTGACATTTTTCCAGAATTTATGCCTTTCGCGTTTGGCCAAAATCATTTTTTTCCAAAAAAGTTACCAATTTAGTCTCAGTCTATCATTTCACACTTGACGAGATACTCTAGATGAGAAATTGGACACTTTGGAGCTCATTGGTGACAGAAAAATAGATAAGATAAAAGTGAAAAACAAATTTTACGAAGAAATGTTCCTAACAACTTGTTTGTGTCCTACCACTAAACATTGAGTCCCAGACAATTATTTTACACATGAATAGACACGCTAGATGCAGAGTAGGTAAACTGGATGTCTGATTTGGCATTTTGGTACAATCTGGGGGCAACAATTGAGATAACATAAAAATGACCACAAGTGACATTTTTCCAGAATTTATGCCTTTCGCGTTTGGCCAAAATCATATTTTCCAAAAAGTTGCCAATTTAGTCTCAGTCTATCATTTCACACTTGACGAGATACTCTAGATGAGAAATTGGACACTTTGGAGCTCATAGGTGACAAAAAAAAAATAGATAAGAAAAGTGAAAAAACAAATTTTACGAAGAAATGTTCCCTAACAACTTGTTTGTGTCCTACCACTAAACATTGAGTCCCAGACAATTATTTTACACATGAATAGACACGCTAGATGCAGAGTAGGTAAACTGGATGTCTGATTTGGCATTTTGGTACAATCTGGGGGCAACAATTGAGATAACATAAAAATGACCACAAGTGACATTTTTGCAGAATTTATGCCTTTCGCGTTTGGCCAAAATCATATTTTCCAAAAAGTTGCCAATTTAGTCTCAGTCTATCATTTCACACTTGACGAGATACTCTAGATGAGAAATTGGACACTTTGGAGCTCATTGGTGACAGAAAAATAGATAAGATAAAAGTGAAAAACAAATTTTACGAAGAATTGTTCCTAACAACTTGTTTGTGTCCTACCACTAAACATTGAGTCCCAGACAATTATTTTACACATGAATAGACACGCTAGATGCAGAGTAGGTAAACTGGATGTCTGATTTGGCATTTTGGTACAATCTGGGGGCAACAATTGAGATAACATAAAAATGACCACAAGTGACATTTTTCCAGAATTTATGCCTTTCGCGTTTGGCCAAAATCATATTTTCCAAAAAAGTTGCCAATTTAGTCTCAGTCTATCATTTCACACTTGACGAGATACTCTAGATGAGAAATTGGACACTTTGGAGCTCGTTGGTGACAGGAAAATAGATAAGATAAAAGTGAAAAACAAATTTTACGAGGAAATGTTTCTAACCACTTGTTGCTGTCCTTCCACTAAACATTGTGTCCCAGACAATTATTTTACATATGAATAGGCACGCTAGATGCAGAGTA